GCTGCCTTTCTCCAGCTCGCAGCGCTCGGAAGCGGCCCCAGCTGCAGAACTCACTCGCATCTTTTTTCAGCGATGTGAAAACCGTCATTAGCAACAGCTTATTTTGAAAAACATTAGAAAAAGAAATTGTTCTGTGATCCCCCAGTTATTAAGCTCATATTGGTCCAGTTTTATAGTTGGGGTATTTCTGTGGGTGTTCTTCCTAGCTTGCATGCTCAGTGCAGGCTTAGCTTCTTACAGTGTTTACAAGTTGGGGATTTTTTTTTAGTGAAGTTTTAAAAGTATTTGCAATTTGTTGAGGCTGTGGAAGTACAGGTATAGGAGTGTTTTCGAGTTAATTCAGTTCAAATGTAAAATTTCTTAAAATGTTTTGCATGCTTCTGTGCTTTTAAATTGGTGGCATGAAGTTGTCAATCTAGTTAAGTCCTTGTTCTCTGAAGTCCTTGCTCAGTTAATGAATTGGTTTTAGTTTTATGTAGCACTTTCATCCCAAAAGTCACTCTTTCTGGTCATTCACTTTAAAAAGTTGGATGGCTTGTCTACACTTTCTACCAATGCTTGATTGTTTAATATACAGTCAGTAAAAGCTTATTATTTGGACTTGCATTTCTGTTTGTGGACTTCTTAAATATCGCATTATGATCTGGAATCACTGTGTCTAGTTTTCACCACTGAAGGTTGTACGTTGTATCCATGTTACATCGTGGAGAACTTGCTGTTTATCACCGAAGAAATACGGAGGTCTGTTCTGAATGCTGTTTAAAAATTGGGATAAGAATGCTGAGTTGTGAAATTCAGAAATACTACAGATTACATACGTCGTGAACTATCAGGGAGTGGATTTGATTTTTCAAGACACAGAGGTCCTATAAGAAAATTCAGCCCTTGAATTCTCCTTGCTTTCTGGCATTGCCGTCACATCTGTTGAGAAGATACATTAAAAAGTGTACTGAGTCTGGCTGGGATGGAGTTAACGTTCTTCATAGCAGCCTGTATGGTCCTGTGTTTTGGATTTGAGATTAAGAGTGTTGACAACACATCAGTGTTTTGGCTGTGGCTGAACAGCACTTGCACAGTGTTAAGGCTTTCTCTTTTTTTTCCCCATTCTGCCACCCTGGTGACTAGGCTGGGTCTAGGCAAGATGCTGGGAGGGAAGACAGCCGGGACAGCTGACCCCATCTGGCCAAAGGGATATTCCATGTCATGTAACATCATGTTCTGCAACAAAAAGTGAGGTAGAGGAAGAAGAACTTTTTTGTTTGATCGTTTTGTTATTTTGGCTTCCAAGGTGGTTGTCCAGGCAGGCTGGACATCAGTCAGCTTGTGGGAGGTGGTGAGTGATTTCCTTTGTTTCCCTTTTTTGTCTTCACGGATTAAACTGTCTTTATCTTGACCCAGAAGTTTTCTTGACTTTTTTCTTCCTATTTTCTAACCCATCCCACTGGTGGGGACAAGGAGTGAACAACTGGCTGTGTGGCTGGTTGGCTGCTGTCCAGGGTCAACCCACCACAAAAATACAGAGGACAGATCTTCAGTGAAGTTACTAAACAGGCGGCAGTTTTGCGTTTGTTGTGTTTACAAAGTGCTGATGTAGAACTGAGGTAGAATCCATTAGTTACAGAATTTGGGCTTTGCTCTTGTTTTGCTGCTCTCAGGTGGAGTGGTAGTTAACTGTTATCAACAGATGACTTGGCATGAGGATCTAGTGCTTGATGTTTGTTATTTAGCAAGGAGTTTGTACAAGGGATATTCTCAAACACTTGGAGTGTTGGGCTCTTGTTTTTTTAAAGGGATGTAGTCATTTGCTACAGAAGCTTGTGTTTGTTCTGAGAGTACTGTGCTGTGTATCGTGTGGTGTTAGATAATGTTGAAAATCAGGATATGTTTAAGTCAGTGTATTAAAGTGATTCTTGTTCTTATGTTTGAAGGGCAGTAAACATATAGAGAAAATACTGGTTTGCTTTGTAAGTTGAAGTACTCCCTGAAGTTTCTCTTTGTTGGATATTTTTGTTCTTTCATTTGGTCATCTTTACTGCCATATGTTCAGTGAAGTGCTGGACTGGTGAGTAGCATACTCCTGTGAACTTTGAAAGCAGGTGGATTTTGGAAGAACGGACACGTCCTGTAATCTTGAGATGGACTTACGCATCTTTCAAGGACTCGAAAGATTTGAACCGAGAGTTTTTCCCTCGATATACTGTCACTGTTTCATTTCAACAGCTAAGGTGGCACAATTGATGACCAAGTAATCTCATCGTGTTTTCATCATTTCCTGAAGTCAACTTAAATTTTGAATTTCTTTTGCTTCTAATATGGAAACACAAAGATGCAGTGCATGGCATCTTGGAACACGGAAGGAGTTCTTCATAGTATCCCCAAATTGTGGGTTCATTACATGCTTGGCTTTAATAGTAGCCACTGCTATGGATGAGCTGCAGCAGTGTAGCGCAGTATGTAAAGTGAAGTACAGATATCAGCCATTAATTATGTTTCGTTTTCTTTCCACAGTTAAGTTGATTTTACAGAATTTATCAGGTCTTCAAAGCAGAAACAGGTAAGCTGCCAAAAGCTTAACACTTCTCACTGAGTATTGTGACAAGATCATACACGGCCTTTTTCTCACAGACTTGTGGCTGGGAGCTAGGATATGCTCTCCTGAGTGCATGTGGCTGCTGCAGTTAATACTCTGACTACGTGAAAGAGACAACATTTTTGAACGCTGAGAAAACATACATTATTGAACAGAACTGATCACTGGGTAGAGCAGCTTGTCAAAGCAGTAAAGTCATCAGTGTTGGTGAATTACTTCATTTTCTAGTGAAGTAGTTATCCTTTTTCCTTTCTCTTTTTATCATCTAGTGTTGTCTGTGTTACGTTCACAAGTGTCCTGTTCAAAAGTAAACAGGAATTTTTTTTTTCCCTTAGGACTGGGCAGAGATCTCTGGCATACAGTAACTATGCCGTGAAAGACTTTAGGTGTTCTTTAGGTATCGTGGATGGTGAGGAGTGACTTAGGTGGATTTTGTTGCCCTTAGGATAGGGAATATGGAAAGACTTGTGCACGTGTGCTGGTGGAGTAGCTAATTGTTCTGACTAATCAACTTCCAGTGAATCTTGTTTTAATCTTGTTCTTGTGAACTTGTGGGTTTTTTGATTCCTTCTCTCTTGACTGAGACAAGGACATTCATTAAAAAGGCTCTAGCTTCTTAAGTGTTAAGATACTGCAATAGCTGAGTACTAAAGACGTGCTATCATGTGTACCTTTTTGTCTGCAGGTGATTTTTGCTGTGGGTTGAGCTCAGCATGGCTGTAGTCATCCGTTTACAGGGGCTTCCTGTTGTTGCGGGTCCTGCAGATATTCGTCGTTTCTTCTTGGGATTGAATATTCCTGATGGAGGTGTGCATGTTATTGGAGGAGAGATTGGGGAGGCTTTTATTATATTTGCAACAGATGAAGATGCACGGCGTGCCATGAGCTGTTCAGGAGGGTTTATCAAGGACTCACGCATAGACCTCTTTCTCAGCAGCAAGGCAGAAATGCAGAATACCATAGAAATGAGCCGGAAACGATTTGACCGTGGGGGACGAGAAACTATGTCTGGCTCTAGAAGAACAGGTAATAATGGTCCTGGAGCATCAGGTGTTGGAGACATTCCACATTTAGCCATGGCTTTTCCAAAAGGAATAGGTAAACCTGGTTATGGTCCACCAAATCATCCGGAGGCTGGTTTCCATACCAATGGCACAAGACATGGTGATATAGGTATGCCTAAATCAAGCTATCAGTCAAGAAAGGATCCTCATCCATTTAACCCAGATGATCTTTACTTATTTCTGCGTGGTATACCTTATTCTGCAACAGAAGATGAAGTACGTGCTTTCCTTTCTGGGATAAATGTGGATGGAGTGATTCTGATAAAGCATCGCAATGGTTTGAACAATGGTGATTGCTTGGTAAAATTTGCTACGCCTGGTGATGCCTTAGAAGGACTTAAACGTCATAGACAGTACATGGGTCAGAGGTTTATAGAAATAAGCCCATCTACAGAGAAACGGTGGATTGAACGTGGTGGGAGGGTAGACGTGCCAAATGAAATTGATTGCTTTTTGTGTGAAGACCGTTCTCCAAGAAGTTCAGTCTACATGCATTCAAGGAAGCATTCTCATTCAAGATCACCAAGGAGACAAAGAACGCGTTCTCGTTCACCTCCCAGCCAGGAGTATTACATACACTTAAGAAATCTGTCTACTAATGTGGAGAAGAGAGATCTGAGAGATTTTTTCGCTGACCTGGATATATGCAGCAAACAAATCAAGCTTCTAATGGATAAGCATCAGAGGAGGACTAGAGATGCCTTTGTGATGCTAAGGAGTGAGAGAGATTATCAGGCTGCTTTGGGATGTCATCGAAAAGTCCTTCTCAATCGTCCTGTTTACATTTTTCCAATTTCAAGAAAGTCAATGTTGAAAATAATTGATTATTGTGAGAGGAAAAGATCACAGGACAGAGATCATTCTGGACAGGCCATACCAGAAAAAAGTTATCGGGAAGATCATTCTGGCCCTAGGATGTGTGTTTATGTAAGGAATTTTCCATTTGATGTGTCAAAAATTGAAGTGCAAAAGTTCTTTGAGAGATTTGATGTTGATGAAGAAGATATTTACTTGCTCTGTGATGACAAAGGAGTTGGGCTGGGAGAAGCATTAGTGAAGTTTAAATCTGAAGAAGAAGCCATGAAAGCAGAAAATTTAAATCGTCGAAGATTCTTGGGAACGGAGGTATTAGTAAGACTTATATCTGAAGAGCAGATGGAAAAGTTTGGTGTAACTGTACCATTCTCTGCACCAAATGAAATGCAGGATCATTCACATCCATATGACAGAGGTGAGCTTTCCCGTCCAGTTGGTTCACCATCTGGGCCACCACAAGGGCCACCAATGCATTCATTTGGTCCTCCTGGGAACTTTAGGCATCCTTCTGAATTTAGGCACCCTCCTGAGGACTTCATGGGCCCTCCTAAGGATTTTAGAGGTCCGCCACCCCTCATGGATTTTGGTGGTGACAGTGAACATTTTGGCAGAATGGAGTTTGGGAATAATAAAATGGGAAGTTTTCCTGAAGGAAGATTTATGCCGGATCCAAATTTCAGTGGTGGTTCTGAACGTGTTGTTCCTATTCGATTGAAAAATTTACCTTTTAAAGCTACTCCTAATGAGATTCTGGATTTTTTCTATGGCTACAGAGTGATACCAGAGTCAGTTTCTGTACAGTATAATGAACAAGGATTACCTTCGGGTGATGCCATCGTCGCTATGACAAACTATGAGGAAGCTATGGCTGCTATTAATGAACTGAATGATAGGCCAATTGGTCCACGGAAAGTTAAGTTGAGCTTGCTGTAAAGGAGGAAAAGATACTCTAGAATAAAACATTCTAGATTTGACAGTATTGGCGGTTATTTTCACTTTTTTAATTACTGGAAGATGCAGAAGAAACAGTTTCCATCAACGGTTGTAAATAATATCTAGTTCAGTTGTTTAGCTACTGGTTGAAATATCTATATGGTTAAGATATGAGAACTGTATTGTGCCTAGTTCTTGTGGCAGAGAAGAGCCCAGAAATTCTGGAGGACATTGAATGTCTTTACATCAAGGTATAAAAGCATGGAGTTGTAATGCTTTGGGTTTTTTTTAGTTTGCTTTGATTCCACATCCCATGACTTTGCATCAAATAAAAATGCAAGTGCTGGCTAACTGGCCACATAGACGGTTCAAATGGAAGAACTACCTGCATTAGTAAATAACATTTCTTACTGCGGTTAGCTTAATAAAATTAAAAAATAAGTGTTGTGGTTTTTTTTTTTTGTATAAACTGTTCAGGGTTTTTTTTGGTTTCATGTGGTTTCAGGCATTCCTATTAAAAAAAGAAAAAAGAGCTTCCTGTTCACATTAGCTGGCTTTGCAAAGTTTTTTTTAATAAAAAAGAAATTGCCATTAAATGTGTGTCTTATATTTAAAACTTTTATACTTGATGATCTCAACTGTTATGCTCAGCATACGTGGGTCTTGGTGAGAATGGTGCTGGCTGCTTCCTTAGGAAATTTTTTTTTACTTATTAGTTTGTCAACACAGGAACGAAACCATAGTTTACAAAGACTGCAAACTCTGTATTGATCAGTTGGATAGGCTTTCTTGTTCTCCTCCCTCACTGTAGTAATTGAGGCAGAAAATGAATGTTGGAATTAGATCAAGAATTCTGACTTCAGCCTGAGCTTTTGTAGGGGTCCTTGTTTATCTCTAGATGCTTGTAATATGAATATTAACTTGCTAATGATGTCTGGATGCATTCCAGGTTAATCTCTGATTAGTTTTAATTAACATCTGTCACTGGCAACCAAGCTGACAATCAACTATGCTATTTTCTTATGTAAGAACACAAATGCTTATGTCAGTATTTAGAATACTTCAGTGGGTTTGGTACCAGCATATCTAAATTTTAGGAAGAAATAAAAGCTAGCCTGTTTGAAGAAGAAAATGCTTCTTCAGCATTCAGGCTTAGCAGGAAACTTTGGTTGTGTGGATAAGTACTTAGTACCATTGTTGACATTGCAATGGTGCAAGACAGTACTTGGAGTACTAAAGAATTTGACGGAGTTTTAGTCCTCTCTCAAACTAAGACAAAGTTGCAAGTTAGTGATGAAAACTTGTTTTAATGTTTGCTGCAGCAATACCATAGATTCATACAGTAGTTGAGGCTGGAAGGGACCTAGAGGTCTCTAGTCTAACCCCCTTCTCAAAGCAGCATCGACTAGAACAGGTTCTTCAAGGCCTCAAGATTTTTTTTAATATCTGTAAGGATTGAGATTCCACAGCCTCTCTGGGCAGCCTGATCCAGTGACTGATCACCCTCACTGGTGGTCAAACCTTAATTACTTTATGTAAAGTCATCATCATTACTAAACTTCCACCTAAACTCTTTTAAGTAGAAGCAAAGAAGCAACAGAAAAATGTTTTTCCTATAATTTTTAAAAGGCCAGTGTACCTTCCTTTTTTCTGCATATTATTTGTCCTCTGTTTAAGTGCTAGGAAAAAAAGCATTTTGAATGAGAAGGATAATGCCAAGTCTGTATATGTAGATTCCTGTGAGCAAAGGCACTTATGGCCAAATTTTCACATTCTGAACACTTACCTTTTTTGCTGTCTAGTAGGAATTAGTTTCAGAAGCATACTGTTCTGAATCTTCCTCTGAATTTAAATAGAATTAAAATTTAAAAAAAAAATCCACAACTAATTGGTGCTTTGATTTCATAGTTGCTATAAAAGAGATCAAGGAGCCAGAAGACTTGCAGGGAAAATAAAGATGTGTTACAAGAATCCTCAAAATAAACTTGTCTGACCTAATCAGGGTGTTGAAAATTTCACTGTGATTATTTTTGTAAGCTAACATCATCTTTGCTACTAATTCTTGCCTCAGTATTATCAGCTGTTTTGTAACTGTGAATGCAAGTAACTTTTCCAGTTAATCAGCTTCAGATGATTTGTTGGTTTTAAAGTTCTTCTAACTACTACACAACAGGACATTTCAAACAGCAAAAATAAATTGGTAAACTTTTCACCATGCTTCTGGAGTAGTGTTATAGAATTCTTGTAATTAAAGAAGAGATTTGGGGGCTGGAAAGCTAGGGGAACTTGGTAGGTATTTTGCTGGCTAAGTGTGATATTATCTTTCAGAAAAAAAGGATTATCTGTTCTCAAGAAAGTTTTGAGCAATTGCTGATAAGGAAACATTATTTTTTTGGGATGGTAAACTTGGTTACTCTATGAGATGTCTGATTGATAAGCCAGAAAAGTGGTTTCTTTAAAGGTTTGTGAAGACAAAAGCTGTACTTCAAAGTATGCATAGATGATCCGAGGCAGAGGGAAATTAGGAAGGGATGCCAGTCATCAGTTAAATAATAAGAAGGTTAACAGGACAGTTGATTCTCAGTTTAAAGCTGTTACCTTGCTAGTATGTTTTGGTTGGTGGTTTGTTCCCCCCCAACTGGGATGTATATGTGTATATATAGACACTGTATTCTAATTCTGCCTGAACAGGTGGTACAGGTGCATGGTGTGATGACAGCATTTCCTGATAATAAGGGGTTTATAACTTCAGATATTTAATGGTTTGGAGGCACTGTACTTTCAGTATAAAGCACACATCAGAGACAGTCTGTAATTACTTGTCTTGAATTATTGCTCTTCCTTTTTAAGTGCCATCCAGAGAGTGAAAGAATAACAAAGGAAATGCTGCAGTTTGTACTGTTGATATAGCTAGTTTCCTTAGTTATGCTTACCCTGGGGTTGCTTTTGCTACCATTGTCCAAAAATTTAACAAACTGTTTCTGTCATCAAAAACTAGTAACAGTGAGAGTACAGAGGCAGCTTGAGGCATTCAGGAAAGCTGTAATGTATGACAATCTGAGGAGTACAAGAAGATAATCCTTAGTCCTAAAGGGATGGGCCAGCATGTTCCAACAGACTGGCAAAATACTCTTATCAAGAAGGGATACAAGCCTGCATCATTTACATGTCAGTGATCAAAAATAAGTATGAACAAATGGAGTACTGTCAGTCTTGCAGTCACCACTCAACACCATAAAAAAAACCTCTTTGCAAAAGTATCTTTCGGTAATATTTAATTCTGTAATTACATTCTAAATTCTTCTGGGTTTAAAATGTATTAATCCATGACTTCTTCATCTGTAGTTTCAAGTTCACACAATTTCTTTCCAACATGCAAACTTAAGACAGGATAAAGTTGCCCAACACTGTATTTCTCCCTTTGTATAAATTTTTCTCTAATTCCTAAAATTGACTTTTTTTGTGAGGTAGGGCAGGAGAAAGAATTTGAAGCTGCTGAGGATAAAAAAAAATTCTCTTCCAAACCCTAGCTAGCTGCTGAGGATAAAAAAAAATTCTCTTCTATACCCTAGGCACTAATCTTTTAGTGGGAATTAATCTAAGCACTGCTTCCTTTTTTTATTCAGAATTCCTTTTTCAAGGCCTTGTACAGAAATAATTGCTATTTGCATATATCTGTATTATACAAAAACCTGGTCTAGTCATGAAGTCAACCATCTGTCTTTAATTACATGACTTCACTGAATAGGGCATGGTAAGGTGGTGATCATGATAATTCTGATGTTGTGATACAAATATTTATTATAGTGCCCTACTTGCTGACATACATGGGAATTAGCTACCTAGGTACTTTAAGTTTTGTCATTAGTATTCTACTCCTTGTCAACAGTATGTAATTCTGGTGTAAAATTATTTTATGGGTTTAAAATAGAACCTTATATTGTGACATTTTCAGTTATATTTTCATCACGTTAATTTTTGGCAAAGCCTTTTTTTTCACCTGTCAAAACAAGTATGCATTGCATACTTTGCTTCTGTGGACAAAGGCAGCATCAATATAAAATGCTCTTCTGTAACTGAAAGAATATTTGGTTAGAACTGAAGACTGTTTTCCAAGTTCCAAGTTTAAATTCTAGATTTATACATGTGTTCTTCCTTTAGCAGATATTAAAGCTGGAGATAAACAATATGGTAGCAGCTTTCTGGCATGCTATTCAAAAATGAACATGCATAACCACCATCTCCAAACAGGATAAGAAATTACACTCAAAATGTGTTATTTCTTGTATGTTTGATGGAATTGGTAACTGGATCAACCAGTTGAACTATATATAGCATGTCAACTAATAGAATAAATGTCAACTATATAAAATATCAACTAGATTTATTATGAAGGCACTTTTATTTAAAAGCAAAGCAGCATTAAAAGTAGATACTGGGATAGGTCCTTATTTGTGAATGTTCATTCTGTGTACATAGAAGAATCGAAAGGCATCTTAGTCAAGCCTGAGGAAAACAAGAATGAGAAAACAATACACCTCACCCTGCCTTCTGCTGTCCAAGGTGGGTAACAAAGTGAAATGTAACACGATTGTTGCTGTGATCAGTTTCTTGGATATTACAGTTACTTTAGGATATGTAAAACCAATTATGACAGGCATAAATAGAGGACTTAATAAATCCAAGAGGGGTGTAGCTAGAGAGGATAATATATTGGCAAAGTAACAAGCAGACCTTTTCTGTTCATAACTGCTTAGTGCAGCTTTTGGACACCATTCATTAAGGAAATGTGACTGCAATATAACATCTATGCAAATATAATACAGGATTCTATTTAAATATTTCATTTCCTAGCTATTGAAATTGTCCATTTTCAGTAGATTTTGTTCCATTCTTTGATAATTTGTTTCTGGCACTCTACTGTTAGTGCTAATTCTTGCTCCTGTTGGAATTTTAAAAATACAGCCTCAGTGAAGTTTTTACAAAAGCCTTTATGTAAAGGGAAATATTTTTTTTTCTCAATCAGAAAACAAATACTCTTAAAGCAGTTTTATTATCTCACTTCCTTAGCAGCATCTTCATCTTCCTCCTCTTCTTCTTCCTCATCTTCATCTTCCTCCTCTTCTTCTTCATCTTTTCTTAGCATACTGTTGGAAATCTAAAACAAAAATCCAACAAAACTAAATCAAGTGTTTGTTCTCCTGAAAGACAAACGATTCTCTGCTGGCATTTCCCGTCTTAAGTACTTGTAGGTTTTTCATTTAAGGGGAGGGAGGAAGTTGTTTATCCCTTCACCCTTCAACTTCTAGTAACATGCGTAATGCCAACAGAAAGATATATGGCACAGAATATAAATACAGTAACGATTTTAAAAACTAAAAAAATCGCCATAGTCCTGAAAACTATTACAGGATAGGGAAAACTATGCATTGATCAAATTAATATTAAAAATCAACAGGATATAAGTGAGGTTTTTTTCTGGGTTGGCTGTTGAAACAGCAGACTGAAGTTGAGTAGTAAGGCATAATCTCATCTTGAAGCCATCAAACGTCTTCAGTTAAATGAAAAATTCAACACTATGCAGCTCTAAGCTGGTTTTGAGAATAAATTAGAAAAACTTTACTAGAAGAGTCTTGATTCATAAATGAACCTGCCCATCAGTACTTGCCCTTCAGAATGATACTGTAGTCCTTTTTTGGTTCATCAAATGTTTAAAAGCGCCAGCTGCCAGGCTTTAATCTGATCTGACAGATTCTGCCATCTACACTTTTTTCCTAATGAGTGCTTAATCTAATTCCTATTGAAGATAGATTCTTCACAGAAGATGCAACATTTACAATTTAAACTAGCATATATGTATTTTTTTCTTTCCCCATGAGAAAAGGAATATTAAACTCAAAGATAGTTATCCAAGTCATCTGGAATGCTTTTGAAAAATGATTTTA